TTTACTAAAGTTAATTTTGACTTATTAAAACAAAAAATTTAATTTACATAAATCCATGAAGTTCAATTAATAGCTTATTTTATTAACCTTTTAACTTGTTTGTGAGGCTAAAGATTGAACTCAGGGTCATGTGACTGCTAGGCAAGCTCTCTACCACTGAGCTACATTTTCAGCCCACAAACTTGATAAGCATCAAAAGAAATACTTTGGATAATTATACTTAATTTTATCTATTACTTTACTGTATTTGGTTGCCTCCTCAAATACTTCTTACAAACCTATGTATTTAAGCATTCTTATAAGTATAATTAACTGACTTTTAAATTATAATAAAATAGTTTACTAATGATGCACTTTCTTGTATTTTGTTTAAAATTTTGAGTCTAACTCAAATTTTTATCATTTTGTAAACTGGAACATTAGTGAAATCTCATACTCTCTGAAACAACAATATCATTATAAATACTTAAATAGCACATACATTAAAGTAAATTTCAAACAATAAAAAATTTTAACACTTTGAATTTATTACTTTTTTAATTATACCTGATTGGGGTTAAACCATATGCCCAATATATTTAATATATAGATAAATTTGATTTTTGACTGAGTTCCACCACAACAGGAGAAATCATTTTTAACTGTCTTTTTTTTTCACTCTATTACCATCCATTCCGATTGGTTGGTTCTAGTAGCAGTTTGGTAAGAATTAAAATCTCTGTTTTGTAGTAATTTTTGCATTTCTGTGGTAAAAATACTCGCCATGAGCTCTTTCAAAACACTACAGATTTAATAATAAACATAAAATTTCCAGCATTTTAACCATTCGTTTTCCTGAGCTAGTATGAACAGGCTTTCACATGCTACTAGTTGTTTCCTATACTGTACGGCCCTGTACTAGTTATTAAATTTTTTTAACAGCAGTTTTTATTAGAAGTTCAGTTGTAGTAATAGACTTGAAAACATATTTGCTATATATACATGACTAGTAATAAAGTAAAGGGCCATAACCACTTTAGATATTACTTTGGTATTTCCCCAAAATGTTAAACAGAGTTACAACATTTCACAGTAACTACTCTTTAGGTATTCTTGGCCAAACGAAAACATATGTCATGCAAATATATATTATGATGTTGGTATATATATGCCAACATCATAATGACCACAAAAATTTGGAAACAGACCGAAGGTCCTTTGATTTATGAATCAATAATCAAAATGGGTTATACTCATACAGTGAAGTATGATTTAGAAACAAAAAGGAGTAAAGTAGTAAAACATGCCATAAAATGGATTAATCTAAAATATGCTTAATTAAATAAGCTAGACAGAAAAGGCCACATATTGAATAATATATATCGTAGCATCATATCTAAGTTTATATGTCTAGGAAATGTAAATCTGTGTAGACAGAAAGTAGGTTAGCAGTTTTTTAGGGTTAGACGTGGTGCTATTGAGGGCTTAGGAGTAGGAAATGATTGCTGGTGGATGCAACTTTCTTCCAGGATGATGAAAATATTCTAAAATTAAGATATAGTATTAATTGTGCAAATAAGTAAACAATAGAACCATTGAATTGTCCACTTAAAGCAAGTGAACTTTATGGCATAAGAATAGTATTTTAATAAAGCTGACCAAAATATGTATTTTCTGAAACAAAATAGTTTTATTTCTTGCCAGTGTAACAACTTAGAGATAATATGTGATATGGATATACAATGGCATACTATTCAGCCATAAAGAAGAACAAAGCCATGTCATTTGCCAGAAAGTGGGTGGAATCAGAGATCATCATGTTAAGCAAAGCAAGGAAGACGCAGGCAGACAAGTTTACCATGTTTTCTCTAGTATGGGGAGTAGAGAAAAAGAGATGACATTAAAGTAGAAGAGGACTGTTAATGAAGACACAGAGGTATGAGGAGAGAGAAGGTACAATAGAGGGTATTACAGAGGGCTGAAAAGATCAAACTACATTATATACACATGTAGAAATGTCACAATGAAAGCCATTGTTTTGTATAGGTAATATGAGCTAATAATCATAATAAAATGACAACAATGGCAACAAAAATAACAACAACCAGAGTTTAGTGGAGAGTAGAGGGAGGATTCTTCTCCCCTGGATTAACGAGACTTATTTTTCCATCTCCAAAATGTGGTTTCTATTTTAAAATCCAAGGCAGTTGTCCCCACATGTGCCATCTCTCAACCAGCAGGAAAGAGGAAAAATTCATAGTATTCCCCATTCAACATATTCTGATGGAAAGAATCCAGAAGAGCATAATACATTTGTACTTACAATTTACTTAAAAGGCCATACCTGTAACCAAATCTAAGACATATATTCTCCAGAAGAGTTACCATGCACCCACCCAAATCTCAGCACATCTAAATATTTGAACCAAGAAAAAATGGATATTTAATTTATCAAGTGAATCTGCAATACCCTCTAATGAAATAAGTTTACCTTATTGAGATAATTTGGGGTCATTAGCCCAAGAAAATGGATATTGCCTCTCAGACAATGATGTTTTACAATTCTTGCAAACTCTTATAATATGAAATATTAGTCTTATGGTCACCTGTAATAGCACTAGAGACTCAAAGTTCAAGTTTATTAACAAGTACTCTTGAAGAGTTTGCCTTTGAATTCTGATAACATCTCATCAAATTTTGAAAGCTGATTTGGATTTGTAACTCTCTCACCTCATCACTTTACCATTAAATTGGGTTCAATGAACATGTTTCTTGATTCTCTCACTAATTCTTTTCATATTCATCCTATCGGGTTACACTTCAACTTTATTTACACTTAAATGACTTTTAGTTGCATGTCGTATATCTATAAAAGCCACATTTGGCTCTTTAGTTGCAGATATGAAGGCACAATCATAACCAAGGTTTTAGGTTCCGAGGGCGAAGAACCATATTAATAGCATCACTAGTGAGTATAATCTTAAAGCTCATGCTTTCCTTGGTAGACTAAATTCAAAATCATTTTTGTTTCCAGTAAAGGAAGAACTGAGAATGCCTAGGGAAATTAGGATGTTAATCAGGTCAAGCATGTCACTATTGGTGAACCAAGAAAATAAATATATATCTAATAATGATTTCAATTGCTAACATACAAGAAGAGGGCTATCAATGACACATATGCTTTCCCCATCTATATAGACACTGTTATGACAATAATTCTTGAAGAAACTGGAGTCACATATCAGTGTGAACTTTCTCTACCTATTGGCAACAAAAAAAATGAGAAAGTACTCTTATAGCATATTATATAGTGATCACAAATTCCAGGAGTATTTATCTCTGAAGAAAACACATTTTATTTTCAGGAGAAAGAAAAAAAACTCTCATCTATAGTTCTTGCATGGTAATCTTTCGTATAAAAATTAAACTTAGGTTGTACTGTATGTGGCAGTAGGATTATCTTTTACCCTGTATATCTGCTATTTTCCTGATCTTCTGTATTATCGGATGCATTTTTCCAGGACTCCTCTGGTGAACACCTCCAGGTTTGATAAAGGCACAAAATGTAATCAAGACATTTGTCTTGTTTTTCCTTTATTTGAAGTGACTATAGATCCCTAAGTAGGGACGTCCCTAAGTGAGGACATACACTGTTGTAGGGAATCACCAACCCTATGTGCCCTTGTGTACATTGTAATGGCTGAATTTGGAGTGCTATTAGCAGACGACATGCACTTTCCAAGTTATCTTGTAACAGCACTTCTAGGAGATAATTTACACATCAGATGGAATATGCTCTTTGAGCTTCTGCATCAAAAGTAATTGTGCCTACTCATCGCATATGTGGGTTTCATTAAGGCAGCTTGTCAGCACGACAAATGATTTCCTTCATGTAAGCTTCAGCTTTAGAAGCCAATGAGAGAAAAATGTTCTTAAAATGAATACATGTGAGTTTTAGCTACAGTATTTATTTTTCTCCTTATATTCACCCATGTAAAATATATGCCTACAATCACAAACATATAAATGTGGCATGTATGTTTATATATGTGTATATGTGTACATATATATTTTATGCTTTAATACAAACTGAAAATTTTAATGAGACTCGAGGTACAGCCTATTTTTAAGAACCCTAATTCAGGTGTTTTCTTTCACTGCAGGTATTTTATTCTGTTTTTACTTTTATCCATTAAAATTCTGGATGGCTAGTCTGTCCTTTGCTTGATGTCGAAAAAGTGGAGATGTGAAATTAGCTTCAACTCAACAAGACAAAATATTTGAACAAGAAGCACTAATTTCTTTTAGTCAATAATAAATTTTGATACACGTGTCCAAACTTGAAATAAATTTTAAAGCTTACTTCTCCCTAGAATTGCTTTGTAACAGATGTGTGACTTAGTCAATGAAAGAATGGATAAAACTTTTTGAATTAGAATTCTGAAAGTTAGTAAGCTGGTAACCTATGCTTGCAGCAGACACAGACACCAAGGCTGCACGCCCTATTCCAGAGCGTGGGTGGCCAGTGATGAGTTAGTCAGCCCCATGGGTAAGACACTCAAAAAGTTGGAAGAGCTGGTCTTGGGTGGAAGAATTCATCAATAAAATATGGTGCCTTCATATACTGATTATTTTAAGCTGAAGGAAACTGAGAAAAGCACAGAAGTGAAATATTCTCTTTGATGTGTTCTTGTTCTTTTCTGTGGACTTTTCCCACCTTTCTACTCAGAAACCATATAAAGAAAAAATTCTGGCTCACTTCTCCTAAGAGTAGGTTTAAGATCTTTATTTTAGAGAGGTCTTACGCTATACCAAAAGGTGAAATTATCTGAATAAACTGGCCTTGCTAAGTTCCTGCCTTTAGCTTCTAAATCCCTTGTCCAATCACATTCCTACACACCTGTCTTTTTATCAACTCTGTGCATAAAAATTGCAGTTTTCTCTGGGTCTTTGAGTAATTTCTAAAGGTTTCTGGGTCGTGTATAATGTTATTAAATTAGTAATATTTTCCTTTGTTAATCTTTGTTGGGTGTCACCCATGAACCTTGATATGGATGAAGAATAGACTATTTCCTTCCCTAGAAAGGAAATAGATAAAAAGGAAAATTTTTTATGTAACCAGTGGAAATCTGGAGAGCATATCAGGCATGTGGCCAAACCAGGGAAAAGTGAGAGTAAAGTGTGAGTAGTACTTTCTCCTGACTAAACTGCTTAAATTTAGGATTTGTTCTTAATACTCAGAAACCTCACACTAAATGAATTAATATAAAAATAATATAAAATTGGTTGTCAGAAGTGGAACTCCAACAGAGAAAAAGAAACTATGAAAATGTTTAGGGCAACAGGGTAAATGATCCTATTCAGATTTCTAAGGCGAACACGGGGTTGATGACACACTGAATTTGAAAGTGGAAATTAGAATATTAATTTGTGAAACTGGAGATGTGGGAGCTGTGATTCCAGCTACTGCTACTTGGAAGATGAATTGGAGAAAATAAGCAAGAAAAAGGTCATTGGCAGGCAAGTATCTAAATGCTCTTTTTGATTAAAACAAAAATACAGTCAAAGGAATCACTTCATAACTCAAAACCCTATCAAACAAGAGATCAAATGTTACAGTCAAATAGCCAGTGGATTTTTCTTTTTTCATAGTTTGTAAATATCAGAAAGAAAATGAACAATGTCTACAATGACTGTATATGCTGATATGAACTATAAAATAAATGTCAGAATTATGATACTGAGTAAAGTTTTCTATTCTACATTTTCCTTATGTGTTAAATTCAAAATGTCTGTAAAAAAAAGAAAAGAATAAATGAAAATGAAATAATGTACATACTTCTCTTTCATACATTGCCATGGAAGAACCATCTGTAAACTTGTCAGGAGGCCAAAGTTTTCATAAGCGTGCCTACTAGTGACCATGCAGACTGCGGAAAAGAAGGAGGCCACCACGTGGGGAGCACTTTTTGCTTGCTTTAAATATGTGATGCCATATAAGCATGATAAAGCTTGAGTAAGTTGAGTGAATTATTGCCACTTTATAGCTGAAGACAGCAAAGCTCAGAGAACTTCACATGACTATCGCCTATTTTAGGAGAATCAATGTGCAGATTTCTCAACCACTGTAATTTTTTTTGGTGAGTATATTTCCATCTGAATCTTATACTGAGGCCTTTAATATTATCATGTTCAGATAATTCCAATAATCTGATGCTCATCTTGATCAGATATTCACTTAAGTCTACAAAAATCAAAGGCTTTTTGTTTTCCATGACAAAGCTAAAATTTTGCAGGGATTCTTGGGATCCTTGGTGAGTGACTTGAGAACTGTGGTTTGTGAGTCAATGGTTTTGTGGGTTGGCAGAAAAAGAAATTGTTGGGATGTTTCAAAGTGAGATAGTAATGGCACTTAAACTATATACAGGACAATCTATCATTAATACTATTGAAGACTATTTTCCAGGCAATGAGCAAATATTTTTAAATTACTAAGATGGTTAATTTGAACAACTCTGCAAATCTCTGTGTGTGGGTGTGGGTGTGTGTGTGTGTGTGTGTGTGTGTGTGTGTGTGTGTGTGTGTGAGATTCCTGCTATCTTCTGACCTAAAAGTAAAGATAAAGGTAAAAATCAAATCTTGGTTATATAAACAACCTTTTAAAATTTTGAATCCTCATCACATTATCTGCAATAATGCTTTCATATAAGAACCAACTAATTTTTAAATTAATGGCCTTTTACAGGATCACAGCTGTGTATGTGGACCTTAGTTTGAATACTTAGAAGGGGTGATTTTTTGTGAGCTAAATGAAAGCTGGAGCAGAAGTAAGAAACAAGGGATGGGAAGTATGCAGAATTTCCATTTCCTCACTTCAAGGACAAGGGGAAGGAGCCTGAAACCATATACCTGTGGCCTTATGGGGAGGAATGTAGCCATGGTCAACCTGTAAGCTAGTCTCAGAGAAGATGGGAAAATAAATCTACCTCTACTCCTGTCTTCTTTTACCTCGTGTAGCACTCCCCATTTGTCATGCCTATAGGACTCGCTGAAGTTAAGTTCTAGGATTCGAAGCAATGCCATGAAAAGCTGAAGAACAAGTAGGTATATCCAGAACAATTGCTTTTTCTAATTAGAAAGTATATCTTATTTGCAATGTGTTGTTTATTCTTTAATTCCTTCAATTTATACACATTTGTGACCACCAACTATATTCAAGCTGTGCTTCATCTAAAGAACTACTTAGGAAGAAAAATTGTGTAAAAATTGTCCATATTCTCAAGGAGCTTTCAGTATCAGAATAGCATACAAACAGTACTAGAATGTGATCCACAGAAGACAAGTCACAAGGACAATGTTAGGAGGATTAAGAATAAAAAAGAATGATTGAGGCAATCAGGAAAGACTTCATAAAAGGCATGACAATTGAGATCAGTCTTGTGGGATAGGTAAGGTCTTTATAGAACTGTTGAGCAGTGATATCTATCCCATATGCCAAGAAGACATAAGAAAATTTAAGCTATGTCTAGAAAGTCTGATGGGAATAAGGTGCTCCTTTAAGGAAGCAATGGGAGATAAAATCAGAAATAAACCAGGTAGAACGTGAATGCCTGTGCTCTCTCTCTCTCTTTCTCTCTCTCTCTCTCTCTCTCTCTCTCTCTCTCTCTCTCTCTCACACACACACACACACACACACATACATTGATGCTTTCACTTTCACATGTTCACTAAAACAACGCTGCTCTTCTGCAAAGCTTCAGCAAGGTCACATCTGAGTAAATGCAAACTTCATGAAAATGAATTATATAATTTGATATTAGTACTACTCTGGTAGGGAACAAAATCCAATATGCATATAGGGCATAGTTTTCTTTTCTCTAGCTTTATTATACATAAATGCTGCTTTCAAAGTACGATTGCTATTAGGATAAGAGCACCATCTAGTGTGTCCTAATCTTATGTTAAGTTCCAGATCTGTTTCTAATGCCATTAGACAAGAGTAATACAAATACAAATAAATAAAAGCCTAACCTTCACACGCATTTTTGTTTTTAAAATTCAGAATTTAATCAATTAAGATTTTGGAAGAGTGTGTGATACTTCTAAAGAGTATCCCTAAAAGAAAATTAATCTTTCTCATCATTAACTGAGCAGAGGAAAGCATAGAAAATAATCTATCATCACTTTTCTAGCATACCAAATCTGGCAAATAAAATGCAAAAAGAGAGACAAAAGACAATTTGATTCCTAATTTCAACGTTAACGTGCAAAGTCACATCCTTGCATATTAAACTTCAGTGATCACTGTTTATTATATTATTTAAAGCAACATAGAAGCTGGAAGAAAGATTTACTTTAGTGATTGTAATGTGAGGGTAAAATTTTCAGCTTTAAACAATTAAACAACATTAGAAAATAATCAGATAATGAACCCATAAAATTGACATGAAAATAATCTCCATCTCCTGTGTTCTGCTACTGCTTTGTTAACAGAAAAGCAAATAGAAGAGGGAGAAAAAGGGGTAACTGAGCCACAGATTGATGAGAAGGCAAAGAACAGGAAGCACACAAGAGCAGTGGGAATTCAGAAAGAGAAGAATGAAAGCTGTGGGTTTTAGCTCCTCGTTTCCTATCCTTTAGAATTCTGCATTTCAACATTAGACCAGAAATCCTCCAATGGTTTTGAACCAAGGCAGTAATCTCCTAATTTATCATTATTAAAAATATAGCAAAATAACCAAAAAGAATGTGTCTACACAAATTGATATTCATCTGAGACCGTGCCTGTGCCTCTCCCAGCCTTCTGCAGTGGACCCTGACAGCTTTAAACAGAGGATGCAGCTTTCTCTTTGGTGCCCCAGCCATTAAGCCAGTCTCCTATTTAATTTTTTTCTGTTGATACCTTTGAAAAGAGCTGATAGTTTGCTCTCAAATGAGAGCAAATACACCATTTCCTGAACAGAATGTTTCATGCGGTGAATGTAGGTTGACTGCTAACAAAGAACAAGTGTGCTGAGACTTTTTCCTACTCTTTATAGGTTTCTCCTTTCAGAGCCACTCTGGGGAGAGTTTCTCCTTAACTCAGGGTACCCTCCTACCCATGGTCAATGGCCAGGTTTGGTGATGGCTTCCTATCTCTGTGTCTCATTATAGACTGAATTTCCAGTATCACAATCAAATATTCTTGAAATGCATAAATATATTTTTGCAGTCCACAAAACCAGTATTAAATACACTTTCACTATAAGGAATATTGGTTCTTAAATCCCTGTGGAAATACCAATCCAGGTAGGGAGTTTTTTGGAAAAGTTCAATCTACATATTTGCTCTCAGACACACTAAATCAAAAATCCCTTGGGGCAGGGGAAGAGATTTGGTATTTCAGTGAGCCCACCAGGTGATTTTGCTCTCTCTAAATCCTCATGGACTCCCAGGCAGGTTTTGAGGGAGGTGTGGCACTGTACTGGTTGGTAAATCATCCACTGGTGAGTCTACCAGCTGTGTTATTGGAAGGCAAGTCATCAGGTGTGATACGGAAGGGAATATCTCCTCCCTTTCTGGTTCCTTCCTATTTTCTCTGTTTCCGGGCTACCAGGATCTCTCTCAGAGGGCATGAGCAACTTCCCTGCAACATCCCCTTCCATTGCAGTTTCTGTTTTGGAGCTGGCTGATGCTGACCATACACTATAACCTGGGCCAAAACAAACATCTCCTCTTTTAAGTTGCTAACCTCAAGTATTGTGTCTCAGTAATGAGAAATTCGCTAAGGCAACACTCTTATGAAAACAGCATGAATACCTGTATTGTTTTCTTTTTCCTTAAAGCTTTTCTGTGCATACTGCTTAAAACCGCTGTAGTTTGCCCTTTGCACAAGAAATCTTATCTATTGAAAGATTTCTACTGTTTAATTTTTAGCAACAATGATCCTTACAGTTTCTGATGCATTTATTCAACTGAAGAGGTCAAAGTTCTAAAATATAGTATCTTAGTTACTTTCTCACTGCTGGGACAATATATCCAACACAAACAACTTAAAGGAGCAAAGGTTTATTTTGGTTCAGTCCATGGTCTGGCTGGCTCCAAGGTAGAAACAACACATCAGCAAAGGCCAGGGCAGAGGAAAGAGGTTGAGGCCATAATGACCAGGGAGTACAAAGTGACAGGAGGATCCAGGAAGAAAGGGAGCCTTTTAGGTTATGCCTCCAGTTATCTGCCTCTTCGGAACAAGCTCCACCTCCTAGCAGCACAGTTAGCTGTAGATTAATCCCTCCCCACGATTTAGTCACCTTCCAAACATATGGATTTTAGGGGACATTTTAGATCTAAACCATAACACCTAAGATCTGCCATTAAAAATTGTGAAATAACATTTTGGTTACTAAAAGCGATAATACTCACAAAGACTTAACAGTTCATCCAGGGTTCACTCTCCAAGGTTCACATCTCTAGTGAGATGTGTTCTTTCATTTATTTCTTCTCCAGTTTCTTCCTTTCTAGAGTTTCTGAGTAGTTTAGTTTCTATCCTCTGTCCTCCTTTTGTGTGGTACTCTGATTGCTAGGGAAAACCATTCACCTGATCTCAGTATTCACTTCTCTGTCTCACTATTCCAATTTTTGTCTCTGATAGAAAGTTTCTTTCCTAATATTTATCTGCCTAGAAAGCTCTGATGCACCTTTCAAGATACAAATCAAATGTCACATCTGTCATGAGCTCTTTGCTGTACTCCTTAGAAGATGATCACGTTAGTCCCACCTGATGTACTGTGCTCTATCCATAGCATGGTGCACCTGACGTGAAGCACATCTATTCACTTACGTGTCTATCAACAAGTGCTGAGCACTTAAGACAAAACGCCTTCCTAATAGCTTTGTAGTACAGTACCCAGCTTTGAACAGTGTCAATAAGTGTTAAAAGATTTAAAATATGGCCTGTTCTAAGTAACTGCTCATTTGGGACTACAGGAGAGAAATCTAAAACAATAGTTTGAACAAAATATTTGGAATAGTTCAACAGCTTCAAGAGTGAAATGCCAAAGTCCTCTTTTGGCCTTAATGTGCGTTATTTGAAAACGGTTTCTGGTTTCTTAATCCATTACTAACAAAAAAAAGATATATATTTGACATGAAAATGTGTGTAAAG